CCCCACCACCATCACCACCACCACCAAAGTAGTCGTCCACTTATGCATACACCTGGAACTCGAAATTTGACCTTCATTCATGGATAGTTACGAAAATCAATGCTGACATAATTAGTGGTTTCAACAAGCTGGGAGCCTTTAATAGCAGGGTTTGAGATCTATGTGACTCCGCAGTGAGAGACGGCGTGTATAAGGCTATATCGCCCAGTGACCACACATTTGGCAACCGGAAATTCACTGGCTCAAATCCGCTTGGTTGACAGGCTCTCTGTTTGTGAGTTCTGTATTTCCTGCAGTCGGTCATTACAAATATTTTGAGCGCCCTCCAGACAGGCCACGTGGTAGATGAGCTGGACCAACACGGGGGCCATATCGGATTCTGGCAGGTGTTATCGGATTTGCGCACCAACATTTCGGGTTGCAGTGGCAGGCCCAGTTGACGGCCTGCGTCGAGCACACTGGGACCCTTGACGCCCACCGATGTTGTCGCTGAGCAAAAAAGCTGGTCATTTGCTGTGTGTACCAGGGAGTGGAACGCCAAGATGCGGGCTCTACCGTGCCATTCACCTGCGCCCACCCCCGCCTCCAGTCTTTTTGTCTCTGTCTTGACTCCGGGTCCAGGTGAGGGAGGAGAGAGTGCGGTAGAAGCTGTGCAAGTCCACTATAAACTTATTCGCGCAAAAGTCACCGTCCCTGCCCTCACACTGATGTGAAGCACACAGTGGGCATCGTTGGTAACGACGGTTGAACTGTCATTATAAATTTTCTGGCCATTCTGGACGGCCTCTTTCTATTTCAAGCAAGATGCAAGCAAAGTGATGGAAAGTAATGAGCTTGAACTATGAAGTTCGAAAGAGACGCCTTGCGGCCAATCAGGAGTACTAATAATCCCAAACCGAAAAGCAGTCGCTGGCGTCTAACTCTCTGGCCTCGTAAGCAAATCTTAGAAGCACGGATTTGCTTTAAAACTGGCCCAGCCACAACAACATTTCATCGGTCAACTTCTAAATTTTAGTTAGCAAGGTCTCACTTTCGGATTCATTCATTGTCTTCCAGTCCTGAGGATTCACTAACTGCCTTTCGAAACCATTTACCTAACCTTAAATGGAAATCACGCAAATGTGGCTTACGCGCTGTTGTTCCCCAGTCCGGTTCTGAGGGCATTGGTCGATGATCGACTAAATGAGGTTTTGCATCACGCGGTTGGTTCGTCACTGGTTAATGAAAAGTTTGAAAAGCCAGTTCAGTGCTCCTATGTTTGTCAGAAACAATTATCGATTGTTGCTTGCTAATCGCCATGCAACCGCCTTCCCGAGCGGTAAGGCCTCCGCTCCAGGTAAAAACCATACCATCGCTGTGTGTAAGAAACCCAGGGGGGGGGCTTTAGTTTAACGCGGACACCCCATTGAAGTTCACGGCATTCGACCTATCCATTTACATTACAATCGGGGTTGAGACGGCAAATTCAAGCCCCAAGGACTTACCGTCAAGAATTCTCGAAAACCTTCGAGTAAATCACGTCCTGCAAGTTAATCGGTAAAAATTGTAGCTGGAGTCTCAGGGGGACTGTCTGAGGACCCATTGTGCACAACTGACCGCCACCAGAGACACAGGTTTCGCCTAGTGACGTTCTCAGTGAAAAACTTGTCGTAAACTAAAACGATTGGTTTATGGTTGTGTGCCGTCATCAGTCAGTCATAGGTCAACTCCAGACAGGGCGGTCCAGAAACCCTAGCCAAAAAAAGTCATTTTTGCGTGCTTAATAAAACAGTTTACTTATTTAAGTCATGCAGTCACCGGGAGGACTTTCCAAAATATCTACGCACATTGCGTAGTCATAGCATTCAGTGTACAACATTTGACTAAACGGAACATTCAAAAACATGCCCTCACACAGCATACTTGTGTAGAGAGATATCGTTTTTACCTGCTAGATATTCCTCGCTTGATGACGGGCAGTAATGAGCTTTTAAAAACACCCGTACGTTATTTATCTATTTATTTTATATCTTTATATCTATATAAATAAAAAGGGCAATGTTCGTTTGTTTAAAATCACTAATCTCCAAAAGTACTGCACCGAGTGCCCTGAGACTTTGATACAACCTTGCATACGCATAGTGACGGGTTTCTATATGCCTATCCTTATAAGTATGCAGATAGCACACTTGCGACGAGTAAAAACATGTCCTTTCCTGCATAAAAACGTAATCTACTGGGCACAAAAGCAGGGGATGCGGGGGGGGGGAATTCTGAACTCACTGACCTGCCGCAACTTGACCGCCACCAGCCTGGACACTGGTGTGCCCCGAGCCACAGCAACAGGTGGCCGGGTACAGTTAGTTACTAATATACATTATGCTGGTAGGGTCTACAGCCTGATCTAAGGACCTTTTTGAGGGTCAGTGAATATGTTTGCAGGAATATAAAATCGTGGAGATCGTAGTAACTAATGTATATCCAGGTTAGATGCCACACTTCCCAAATCAAAAAATTGTCTTTTGGTTAAGTAACTTCGTGAGAAGACGAACGAAGCAAGACTTTCTCCGGGGTTCAGGAGTTTTCGCGCATATTATGCTTGTGTATGGGGGCACAGGCTTCATTTTCTCGCCGTTAGCCTGTTTTCGAGCAAATTCGGGAGAGCTAATCAAAAACCACCTGCTTGGTGGCCTGTTACTAGAAATCACCCGGCAGACTCACTAGTTCGGACCACCGTAGCATCAATAATTATAATAATACTAGTAGCATTATCAGAAGTGGTAGTAATGGTAGAGGTTGTACGGTAGTTGTAGTAAAAATGGTAGAAATAGCGGTAGTAGTGGCAGTAGTAGTAGTAGTAGTAGTAGTAGTAGTAGTAGTAGTAGTAGCAGTAGTAGTAGTAGTAGTAGTAGTAATCGCATAATTAGTAGTAGTAGTAGTAGTAGTAGTAGTAGTAGTAGTAGTAGTCGCATAATTGGTAGTAGTAGTAGTTGTAGTAGTAGTAGTAATAGTAGTAGTAGTGGAATTAGAAGTACTAGAGTTCTTTTCGCTGTTGTTAGCAGTGGTCGTAGTAGTTGTAGCAGAAGAAGAAGAAGTAGTAGTGGTAGTAGTAGTGGTCGCAAAAGTAGTAGTAGTAGTGGCAGCAATAACAGTGGTAGTAGTAATGGTACTAGTAGTAGTAGTAGTAGCAGCAGTATTAGTAGCAGTAGTAGTAGTAGTAGTAGTAGTAGTAGCAGCAGTGATGGTAGTAGTAGTAGTAATAGTGCCCCACTATGTGCCCCAAGAAGTGGGTGGAGCACCCGTAGCATTCGCGGGAATTAATTTATGGTGGGACAGATTCATGCAGCATCAACCGAAGATGAACTCAGGCGTACTGGTCAACAGAACTAGGCAGCTCATCTGCGCGTGCCATGCACGGTTTTTTGCTTACCACATGTACCAAGATGGATCGGGTCTCGCGTTGGTGAGGTGGGATGGAGGGGTGTCCGATTGTGGGTCCACGTGATGGTTGCAGTAGATCGCTTACTTTCTTGCAGGTGTTGACTACCCCGAGCGTCCATTAACTGGAACCTAACTCTCGCATTTGGCTCCTCGAAGCCATGCTCTTCAGAGCGGCCGCACCCCGGTTACTGCATCGACGAGCGGGCTAAATCAGGTGAAGGTATCCGATGCTGCATGTGGCTCCCCTTCCCCCGTCCCGCTTCCTCCGCTACTCTCTACCTCTACTGGCTTCCCCACTATCGACAAGTCCGACGGCAAGGGCGACATTCAATCCCGTATGCCGACCAGACCAATAGGGCCATTTTCTCATTAAACCAGCCGCCTGGAACGGCTAAACAGCTCTATTTAAGGACAGCTCTGCTTACCCACAAACAAACGCTTATTTCACGATATCTTCGCGCAGACCGCGGCTCACAGACTGCAAAGAGACAAGAAACAAGAACCTCCCTCTCCCTCCCCGCAGCCCCACTCGTCAGACTGGTAAGGTGGGTCCGCTCACACTGGCAGCCTAGGATGTTTGTTCCCTTCTATACAATCCGAGGAGCAACCGAACGGACTGGAGGATGGCGTTAGTGGCTCAGAAACTGGTGCGCTACAAGGTGAACATCGCTGCACTCAGCAAGACCCGGTTCCCCGAACAAGGCCAAATAGAGAAGGTTAATGTCGGCTACACCCTCTTCTACAGCGGTCACCGCAGGGCAGAGCGACGTGATGCGGGAGTCGCCTTTGCCATCTAGGACGACATTGTGGGAAGATTGCTCTGTCTGCCGCGGAGCATCAGCGACCGTCTGATGAGCCTCCGCCTGCCTCTCGGGAAACGCAAATTCGCCACCATCGTCAGCGTCCGCGCTTTCCTGATGACCAGCTTTGACGAGGCGAGAAACAAATTCTACGAGGACCTGCACGCACTCCTGGCGCCTGTGCCGTAGATAGATAAGTTGATTTTCTTTGGTGACTTCAACGTCCGCGACGGGACAGACCATGCTGCCTGGAGAGGAGTGCTGAGTCCCCATGGTCTCAACGGCTCCAATGACAATAACCTGCTCCTTCTAAGAACCTGCGCAAAACACCAAATCCTTCTGACGAACACTTTCTTCCGCCTCTCGGTCGTTACACTGGCACCTGATGGACTTTGTCCTTGTCCGGAGGCGAGACCATCGGGGCCTGCTGGTGATAAAAGCAATTCTGCCTATATATCATGCGCCGCTGTGCGGCTGCTGGTTGGGCTCGAGAGAGAGCCCTTAAGGCACAACGGAACGAGTGAGTTCCGTATGAACGATCGGTGAGCGCCCCCTAACATTGTATATTCCCGATCGAAAACCGACAGGGCAACGGGCTCGTGGCCCGGTGAGTAGAGGCGTTGACTTCTAAACCAACAGGTCGCGAGTTCGAGGCTCGGGTGTTCCAAACTTCGGGCTTGGGTATGGCTGGCTGACGACGGCTAAAAAGCCAGAAATGGCCATTCCTGTCTCCCTTGTCTTTGTGGGTAATAGTATTCTGCAATTCCGAGTGCCGACGGTTGGACCACCCATCGTCTCATCATCTGCAAGATGCGGAGTCGTCTAGAGCCTCGCAGGAGACCTCAGGGTAAGCGACCCCAGGTAAGTTGAATACCACTTTGTTGTTTTTGACTGTCCGCCGTTTCATTTCATCAATCAACTTGCCCAGCGATTAGACGTACTACCAGCAGCAGCAGCAGCTGAAAGGGCCTCCGTGGAGACTCGATGGTTCCAACTACGGGACGCCGTCCATTCGACTGCCCTGGCTGTCCTTGGCCGTGCAGCAACAGGACTGGTTCGATGACAACAACGCCGTCATCAGCACCCTGCTCGTCGATAAGAGCCGCCTGCACAGAGCCTACTTTGATCAAAGCGGCCTGCTACCACCGTCGCCGCTTTGCGTGACAACGACTGCGTGAAATACCGGACTCCCGGATGGCACACGATGGGCCATGTCGAAGCCTGGCTCCCAGTCCGGGGATGGACCGAGTTGCTCTGTCAGCTGACAACCCTACAAGCCACGACGTCCTCGAGAGATTTAGGTGCACCTTATTTATTCTAGTGAGAAATGGTCTTATTTACCCTGAGGATGAATTCCTGGTGCCCCCTCATTCTCAGACCTGAGCGTGAAGCAGTTTATAGAGGTATGCACAAGATCCAACGTGCCCTCCTCCATGACAAGGCAGTGTCAAGACCACCGGAGGTTAGCTCAGGTGTACGGGTTGACAGAACCAAGTAGTCAATCTACGCGTCCCACACGCGATTCGGAGTCCACTTCACCGAGATTGCCGTGGAGGCCACGTTAGGAGGGGACCAGTAAGTCTGACTCCCAGTCCCGGGAAGGACCGAGTTGCTGCATCAGCTGACAACCTTCCAGGGCACGATGTTTAGCACATCGTGGTGGATTCCGCTGTAAGTTAATTTATTCATGCACCAGTCGACTGCTCGAACCTGTCAACTAGCTGATGATAAGACTAGACACAGTGTATGATGCAGTGTGAAGACCTACATCACATCAAGGCAGCCCATGTGTGGAATCAGTTGTGGGTTCGCACGACCTCAATGCCACACGATTAAGATAAGCCATGATACGGTCTGGCAACCGTTTTTTTTCAACTTTGCAGCCAGTTCTGGGTGCCATTCCACCGGATCCACCAATGAGCGGAAAGTTGAAAAAAGAATACCTGTCTGAGCCTTTGTCACGGCGGCAGGCTAGTGAAGCGTATTTCTATGCGTGTAGATAATAACACGTCATAAAAAGATCAACAAACGATCTCTGGAATAGTAGGTGTGTTAGTCTGCTCTCTCGGTCTCGTACGGGAGGCCATCGTCAAAGACTGTGAGAATGCGGCACCAAATGAGCAGTTTTTGTGGTCAAGCCATGAAGGGGGGTGAGGGGGAGTATGAGTGCAGAGGGTGGTATTCGCGACAAGCACGGTGAGGCATGCACTCAGTGAGTGCTTTTAGTCGGGAGAGACCGCCTCTAGCAGCATGAACACCCTCTTCATGTAGTCGCCATGGCATTCTCACGTACGGGGGATCCGAACCGCCCCTTTTTTCTGTGAGAACCTGGTCCATTCCGCGGGGAACCAGACCGTTTGTAGCACGGGTAGACCGTCCGACCGTCGGAGCCTGGTGGATGACGGGTGAGCGGGTGTCGTAGATACTGCGCAAGTCTGCTATCATTACAAAATCAGTTCACGCGCTGGTCTCCGGTCTGTGCCCATCAAACTGTGAGGCATGTCGTTCCCCGAGAGGGTCGAACTGACATGTATTTGAAGGTACCTTCAGACTGAATAGGCGCTGGAGTGAACCAGGCAGGCGTTAACAGGACTGCACAATGTTCGCGCACTCCATGGCGTGGTCGCATGCCACGGCTGAACCGTCATCTACGAGAGATTTCCTAGGTAGGTAATTCGACGTCATTTATAGTCTCAATTTAAGTCATTCAAATCAACATGCCCACTTGGGGCTGAGAAGCCTGCCAGTCATTTGTGCTAATGCGCCAGTCTTGCAGATTGATCGTCTTTACCTGACCTTCAATGTTAGTATCGACTAGACTGCACTTCCGCAAAGGATACACGACCGTTGCGTTCTATTCGATTTTGGATATCTAGAAGAGAACTCTAAGGACTTTGTGAATTCCTAACTGGGGAAAAACGGCAACGATGTGTGAGGGATCCCATGCAACTGTCGGTAGACGTCATGCGAGTGGCGTGGGAACGATCGATGTTAATTGTACCCGAATCATTTATAAGTCATGTTATTCGCATAGCTTCAACTTCATTGTAACCGTTTTGGTCTGATGAAGAGTTACTGAAAACACGTGTTCGCCAATTTGGCTTTTCAATTAGACTGTGGATTGTGTGGTGCAGGAATAGTGAAAACCGGTGGCGTAACACGCCGGCAAGTAAGCTAACGAGATGCAAGAAAAGACAGAAATTATTTGGATTTCTGCCGAAAGTCTTACTGTACGCTTTCCTGTGACAGCGAAGACGAGCGCGTTTATCAAAAATCAAATAGGCAAAAAAGAACAGACTTCGAGTAATGGCTTGCGGTCACGGAAAGTAATTATTGTAAACAGTGTAATGTCTGCAATGACTCACCATAATAAAACCCATATGACACGATACACAGTCTACCTACATTTAAATAGGGTTCTTTATCTTACCCTTGTTAAAAAGTGTTTGACCATACGCATGAATATTTATTTAGGCACTTGTAGGTCCACAAAACCCGCCGACAAACGATGCAAGACGATGTCAGTAGACTGCCCATATTCGAATGGAAGTGGCGTTCCAGTGATTCACCTGCACAGCAGAATATAGGCATTCGGTTTCGTCCTGGAGCTCTGTCAAAAGCTTCTACAGGTAGTCCTTGGGCAAATCAAACCGCCGTGTTTACATTTTATACCCTAAGAAAGTATATACTTAGGTTTTGAAAAAGTTTCCCAATTCCCGAATACTTTTGGGCCTGAACAGCCGTAGCATTAGCGTTTAGCGATTTTGGTATACAAGGTGTATGCTTCCCGCCTAGGGAATATCATATATTCCTCTATGTTTTTGAGAAGATACCGTATAGAGTGCACAAATTTTGCAATGGATGCGGACTATGTTGTAATCTCATGGGAAGCAGTGGTACGCAGGCAGGTACGATGCTGTATGAGTGGACATTGCGCGGTCTTAAAAAATATCATAATTAGAAGAATTTTTAAAACCTAATTATACTCCTTCTTCGAGGATAAAATATGAAAATGACGTGGTTCTCTATCAAAAAGGGTGAAAGAAAGCATACCTTTGTTCATGTTTTCTATAAAATATATTTCAATTTCTAAGACCATCGAAAATCATTGTGAAAAATACATGCTTCCTAAGTAGCCATTTTTTACTGAGTACGGTTTCTATAGGGGGTCGAAAAGAAGTGCATTCAAAAGCCAACATCCTGGCGAGTCCGATTTACCATAGGATTATGCCGCATGATAATCAATCTTACAACACCACCTAAGTAATCCATCCTAATCTAAAACGTATTTCAGAATTTCGGCTAACACTTCATGAGATCGGTCACGGACTGTATGGTCATTGCGTTTGGTCCTGCAGCTCTGTCAGAGGCTTTTATAAGCAGTCCTTGGGAAATTCAAACCGGCAAGGGCATGGGCGGGCTTGAGTAGTCGTTTCTTGCGCCTAAGTCGTCCTCAGCCGGTGATGAGCCGACTGACGTGACTGCCATGGGCACCACCTTAAAGACTCGTTCGATGGTATGCAGGGCTGAAACGGAACTCTGAATCCGAGTTGGGTCGACGCCACCCTCTGCTAGTTCCAGGTCCGAGACCAGCCAACAGACGAAGTGTCGCCGTCCGTACCCAAGCTGACAAATCTCATTAAATTATTGGTAAGCGGGTCAGTTATGGAGGTAGAGTGAGTGACCGATCTCATGAAATGTTGGCTGAAATTCTGAAATGCGTTTTCGATTAGAAAGGATCACTCAGTCGCGGTTGTAATACTGATCATCTTACGGCATACTCTTATAACATTTCGGACTCGGCAGGATGTCGGCTTTTAAATGTATTTCTTTTCAATCTCCTGTAGAAGGCGTGTTCGGTAAAAAATGACTACTTAAGTAGCATGCATTTTTCCCATTGAATTTCGATGGGCTTGGAAATTCAACTATATTTTATAGAAACCATAAACAAAAATACGCTTTCTTTTAGTCAATTAATAGAGAATCACGTCTTCTTTATATTTTATACTTAAGGAAGAAGTATACTTAGGTTTTAACAAAGTTTTCTAATTGCCGAATAATTTGGAGCCTGATCATTCGTTGCATTAGCGCTTAGTGATTTCACTCTACAAGGTGCACGCGTTCCGTGTGAAGAAAATCACATATTTTTCTATGCCATAAAAGTAATATTATACAGAGTCCATACAATTTTGCAATGGATGCGAATCATGTTGTACATTTCATGAGGAGCAGCGGTAAACGGCCAGGTACGATGCTATGTGAATGGACATTTCGCGGTCTTAAAAAGTCTCATAATTAGAAACTATCTTAAAACCTAATTATACTCCTTCGTTAGGTATAAAATATAAAGAAGACGTGATTCTTTATTGATTGACTAAAAGAAAGCATATTTTTATTTATGGTTTCTATAAAATATATTTGAATTTCCAAGACCATCGAAAATCAATGGGAAAAATGCATGCTACTTAAGTAGTCATTTTTTACCGAGCACGCCTTCTGTAGAAGATTGAAAAGAAGTAAATTTAAAAGCTGGCATCCTGCCGAGTCCGAGATGTTATAAGAGTATGCCGTAAGATGATCAGTATCACAACCGCGACCGAGTGATCCTTCCTAATCGAAAACGCATTTCAGAATTTCGGCCAACATTTCATGAGATCGGTCACTCACTGTAATGGGCAACTTTCTAGTGATTTGGTTCGTGCATGTACACATGGCCGGATGGGTCTCTGGAAGGCTTTATTGCGCGGGTAGATTTTCGCTGCGGATTCTGAAACTAGATACCCAGTTGTGCTGCGTCGAATGCGCAGACATCCTAGGGGGACAATGCGTGACCGGACGGTGAGATCACACGGAAGATAGGTCAACCCTGTTTTGGCAGCCGTGTATCATGGGGACGTTCCTGATGTTTTCACAACATCACACTGTCGGAATTAGGATGTGGTTTGTTGTTCGACAGAAGATAACCGTTACGGAGCAGAATAGCGGAGGGTAACTTGGCAAAGAAAGTGGAAGCTGGGACTAAGTTGCGTAAGTCCTGATCTAAAATCTGTGAGAGATACATGCACCGCGTACAGAGGAGTGGTTGGGTGGAAGCCGAAGGTCCAGCCAAGGCTTCTATCGTCGTGCTGAAATGGAATAGGAGGTTTCTGACCTGTCACATGTTTGATCTGAATGCGCG